CCAGGGAATGGCGGGAAAACACCATGGAATGGCGGGAAAACGCAGTGGAATGGCGGGAAAATGCCGTGGAATGATGGGAAAAAGAACATGGAATGATGGGAAAAAGCCGTGGGATGGCGGGAAAACACCATGGAATGGAAATATCCCGGCACAACCCAAGTCTGGGAACAGCCAAGACTCCTCCCAAATTCCAGGATAATTCCCAAAAAAATCCCCCTGGGCTGAGCTCGGGGAGGCAAAACCCGGCAAAAAAATTCCCACCGGGTGAAAATATCCAAGGAAAACACCCCAGGGATGGGAATAACTGAAAATCCAGGGAAAATGGGCCGTGGGATTGACCATTCCCTGGAAAACTTCCCCCTTTTCCGCATCCAAACCTTTTCCTGCACAAAATCCAGGATATTTTTGAAGTCCAGGTCGTCATAGTAGTGCCGGATTCCCTCCTGGATGTTGGAGTGGAAAACCTCGTTCATCTGGGATGGAGAAACCAAAAAAATTGGGAAAACTCGGGGAAAGCGGCACAAAATTCCACGTTTTTCACCGCTGGCGCCGAAGGAGGAATTTTTCCCCATCCCAAGGTGATTTCCCGGGATAAAATCCATCCTTTTGGAGCTGCCTGGATTCGTTCCCGGCACATCCAAGCACACCAAGGAATTTTTATCATCCTGATTTTTCCTGCTTCGTTTAATCTGATCCCAAACTCCTCAATCCCACGGAAAATTGGGAATTTTGACCCCTGGCTGAGGGTTCTGCTGCCTCAGGAGGGGGAAATGAGCTCTGAGAGGGGAATTATCCACGGAAAAATATTCCAGAGGTGGAAGCAGAGCCCTCACAGGAGCCCGGATCCTTCCTGATCCCGAGAAATCCCTCAGAATTCCAGCAGGGAATGGCGTGGATGAGCTGGGGCTGGGGCACTTCAAGGAATTCATGGAATTAGGGATGGAATTTCGGGATGCCTGGGAACGTTCCCGGGCAGGCTCCGAGTGTCCAGGGCGGAGCCAGGGCGGATTCTCCGCTCGATTCCCAAAAAAAAATGGGCGGGAACGCCAATGGAGGGAAAAGAGGAATTTTCCCGGAGTTTGAAGCAGCTGGAAAAAGAGAGGGAAGAGGAAAATCCAATTTTCCAAGACACCGGGATGGGAAAATGAAAGGTTGGGAAGAGCGGGAGCAGGGAGGGAATTTGGGATTCCCGGGAATTCGGGATATTTCCATTCCTGGTTTTCACCGTTTCCCGCTGGTTTCTCCCCGGAAAGGCTCATCCCGATTCCATTCCCGGGAATGACGACTCCGCTTTTGGGAATAAACATTCACAATTTTTTTTGGGGGGGGGGGAATTTGAGGTTTTTTTGGGTTCCCAAAAAAGGGTTTTTGGGAATCCCTCTGGAATTCAATCCCGGTTTTCCAGGTGGGAGTTGAACCTCCCCAGGATCCCAACCCCATTAATCCCCCCGGCCTCATTTGCATATCAACGAAGCTGATTTGCATATCGAGCCACAGAATTAATTCCTGGTCACGGCTGATTTAATCTGAAATCCAATTAATTCCGGGATTTGGGATTCGATGAACATCCGTCGCTCCAGGTCGGATTTTCCCCTCCCCCCTTTCTCCCTCTCTCATTGTTTGGGGTTTAATGAACTTTTGATATCGCCCCCAATTAAATTCCAATTAATCCTCAATCAATTGACGTTTGGAGCTGCCGCCGTATCCCGGAATTCCAGCCCGGGGAATTGCAACTCCAATTCTGGGAATGACAATTCCATGTTCGGGAATAACAATTTGATTTTTGGGAATGACAATTCCATGTTTGGGAATGACAATTTGATTTTCGGGAATGACAATTCAATTTTTGGGAATGACAATTCGATTTTTGGGAATAACCATTCAATTTTTGGGAATGACCATTCAATTTTCGGGAATTCCATGGTCAGGAATACCCATTCGATTTTTGGGAATAACCATTCGATTTTTGGGAATGACAATCTGATTTTTGGGAATAACCATTCGATTTTTGGGAATAACCATTCAATTTTTGGGAATGACAATTCGATTTTTGGGAATAACCATTCGATTTTTGGGAATGACCATTCGATTTTTGGGAATGACCACTCGATTTTCGGGAATTCCATGGTCAGGAATACCCATTCGATTTTTGGGAATAACCATTCGATTTTGGGGAATAACCATTCAATTTTTGGGAATAACCATTCAATTTCTGGGAATTCCATGGTCAGGAATACCCATTCGATTTTTGGGAATACCCATTCGATTTTTGGGAATGACAATTTGATTTTCGGGAATAACCATTCAATTTTTGGGAATAACCATTCAATTTTGGGGAATAACCATTCAATTTTGGGGAATAACCATTCCATGTTTGGCAATAACCATTTGATTTTTGGGAATAACCATTCGATTTTTTGGGAATGACAATTCAATTTTTTTGGGAATGCCAACTGAATTCCCGGGATTTCCAGGTCCCTGGAGGTGACGCCGCTCCCACCTTGTTCTCGAAGATGATTTCCATGAGGATCAGCAGCAGCTCCGTCAGGAAGATCAGCAGGAGCACCCAGAAGAACTGGAATGAGGAAATTATGGATTATCCCAGATCCAACGGGGACACCAGGGAAACAAGGAATTCTTCATTGGAATTCCAGTTTTTCCGGGAATTTTGGCTGGAATTCCGCCTCGGTGTCGCCATCCCGGAGAGGATGGAGAGGGGCCCGAGGGTCTTCCCTGGCACAAAGCTCCAAACAAATTCCGGATTTCACGGAGAAACTTCCCAAGGAAATCTCTCTCCGGCTCTGGATGCTGAGTCAGGAAGAGCCGCTCGATTCCAATTCAATTAACGCGGCCGCTAACGAGCCCATCCATCCTAATTCCCAAGAAACGACAACAAATGCCCACGGAAACCTCGGGAATGAGAAACCCCTCCCTTAACGAGCTCCCTGGTTTTGCTCATTAATTATTCCCAAATCTGGATATCCCAACCCCAAATTTGGGCGGTTTCGTTCCCTCCGGAGCACGAATCCCACGGGATGGGAGTTTCCAGAACATCGATCCGGAGGATTCTGGGGACATCGGGAAGCGCCTGTTCCCTGTGGATAAACGGGAGCGGAGGCGGGAGATGGATGGAGCTTTCAGCCGCTCCGAGCGGGCACAAATCATCCGGAATTCCAGAGGGAATTCCACGGCTCCGGGGGGAAACGAGCCCGGAACCTTTGAAACACGAATCCCTGATCATTTGAAACAGAAATCCAGGATTAAACATGATCCTGGATCCTTTAAAATACAAATCCCAATTAAAACATGATCCTGGATCCTTTTTAAAGAAGATTCCCAAATCCTTTAAAACACAAATCCCAAATCCTTTAAAACACAATCCCGGATCCTTTTGGACAGAAATCCTGGATCCTTTAAAATACAATTCCAGATCCTTTAAAACACAATTCCAGATCCTTTAAAACACAATTCCAGATCCAAACACAATCCCAAACCTTTGTAGGCAAAAATTCCCGATCCTTTAAACACAGACCTGGATCCTTTTAAATCCCAAATCCTTTTAAATCCAAATCCCAAATCCTTTAAAACTCAAATCCCAAATCCTTTAAAACTCAAACCCCAAATCCTTTAAAACTCAGATCCCAAATCCTTTAAAACTCAGATCCCAAATCCTTTAAAACTCA